CTGAACCGCAGTTCAGGCTCAAGAAACTGATAGTTTGGTGTTCCAGGAGGGGGCTCGTGCCAAGTGTTCAGGCGTGCATCCCAAATTCCCAGGGAGTGAGAGCAAGCCCGGGGAATGCTGCTGTAGAGCAGTGACTTGCACAATGGCAGAGTAAGTGCTGTGCGTGTGTGCAAGTCGAGGTGATAAATGTGGCTCTTGCCCAGAAAAAGAAGGGCCAACTTGCTTTAAGTGTCTCTGTTTATCAACTCAGGTAGCATCCGCAAGACCTGCGCGTAAGGGATTTATTGTAGCAGGATGCATCCGAGAAAAGAGGAATGAGTCATCGGAATGGCTTCGTTGCTATCCACCCTCTGTCCTGCCTTTTTAACTAGTCGGTAATAAAAATAGAGATAGAGACATTGCCCACTGGGATCCAGGTCCCCGGGGAATCCCTGGAGGTCTCCTAAGGGGCCAGGGAAGGAGAGGTAACCAAACTGAGCCTTGTGCCCCACTGGGTACCTGCAGCTCCTTTGCAATGCTCCAAGGAGCTTGCTGGTAAAATAATAATAATAAAAAAAGGCAACTCTGCTTCTGCTAGTACAGAATGTGTCTCTCGATGTACAGATTGTGCTCTGCAATCCACACAGAGGAGCTTGGAAAATCTGCCTAATGGGAAAGGATTTGGGCTTGGGAGTGGGAGCCGTGCTGCGTGCCGCTCCGCACGGGCAGCCCTGGAGACCGGCCCGTCGGCACTGGGGACGTGCTGACAAATTCAGCAGTGCCCACCCTGTAATAAACACTAATAACAGGAGCAGTGTCCCCATCAGCCATGCCTTGTGCAGCAAGAAGGGTTGTAATTACACCTCTCAGGGAAAGAAGTTTAATATTTAGCTGAAGTTGCTGGAGTGCTGCGCGCGGGCACATTCGCCTCGCTCTGAACACGTCGCTCCGCACTCCCTTTTGCAGAGAAAGGGGAATTTGCTCACGTTTTTTTCACACAATTGAAAAACAAAGCAGCATATTGACACCGCGCTCTCCAGGTGCTGTCTTTTATGGTCAAAGTGTTAATAGAAAGTCCTAAAAATAAACTGTCTTTGCTCAGCTCTGTACAGTCCTCTGTACATAGGGGCTTTTAAGCTATGGCTTAGGTTCGCTACAAAGAATAACGCATTTCAAAACCTGTTTGTCACTGATGCTGGGATTCTTCCAACTGATTATTTTATTAGTAACTCTACAGCACCAGAAAGAGGGAATCCTGGTCCGTGACTCTCAAGATTACAGCTTTTCGATCTCCAAGACATCTGAAATTGCTGTTATTATGATGTTTATAACTCTTTATTAAATTTACCAAACACAAAATTTTCAGGGTAGAAATACCAGGCCTAGAACAATAAATTAATCAGAAAGCGATTAACCTCTCTAACCAAAGACGCATCATCAAATTAAAAAATAACAAACCCAACAGCCCAAACAGAAGGCGCTCCTCCAGGGCTTGGCTTGCCCAGATTTGGATTCCCGTGGGCTCCAAGGTGTCCTGGTGAAGGGTTTATGGACCGGGGTGGCCGTGGGTTGCGGGTGTGGGCCTTGGTCCATGCCCGGCAACTGAAGTGCCGTTTGTCACATGTGTCTTTGGGCCCCTTCTCAGCCCTCGGGAGAGCCTGGATGTCTCTAATAGCCAAACTAGAAACTGCAGGGGCATCTGCTCCTTTTCCTTAGTCTTCTTGGAACGTGATGTTGGGGGGTCCCTTGTTCCCGATGAACACGGTAGGCGGCAGATCCTGGCGCTGTTGGGGCAGGCAGGAAACGAGAGGCGTCCTCCGAGCGAGCCGCTCTCATCTCCGGAGGAAACCGGGCTAAAGATAGCCCCGAGAGTTCCCGTTTCCTCCCCTCCTCGTGCTTTTTTAGGTGGTGGTCCTGTTAATCCAGGGATTTGTATCACAGCTTCCCCATCTCCTGCAGCAGCATCACGGAGCAGGGCTGCGAGGGCGGCCAGCAGGCAGGCGAGCCAAACCTCCAGCTTCCCCCTCAAAATGGGAGCAGAAAAATCCCCACTTTTGGCTTTATTTTCTCCCACGTGCTAGGATTTCGTTTGTTAACAACATGTTGATTTACATGCTTTAAATGAACTTCGATTTTTCTGTATGGCAAAAGCCATGGTATCATGCTTTAAAAACATTTGGCTGACTTAAGTCATAATAAGATTACAGAGAATTATGAGGTCTTACTTTTATTTCTAATGCTGTTCTGTACTCTTCTCTGTGTATGTATTTGTGTGATTCTAAAAAAAAAAAAAAATCTGTTTTTTAAAGAGGACTTGTCTGACAATGAGGAAATGTTCCCGAAAGAAATAACCAAATGGAGTTCCAATGATCTGATGGATAAAATTGAAACCCCTGAATGCGATGATGTCCAGGGTAAATTTTTTTTTTATTTTTTTATTTTTTAAAAAAGAACTGCATGTGGCATTTTACAGTCTTTCCATGTCATTGTTGCAGCCACATTCAGAAAAAGGTAACACTTGTTATCTTCATCTCACAAAAGGAAAAGCTGAGACAGAGCATAAAAATATCTGTCCGGCGCTGCAGAACAAGCTGCCCGGTGGGAGCTGGGAAGAGGAAGCTCTCGATTTCTCTTTATTTTCCACTTTGGTTCGGCTCTTTTGTGCGACAAACAGGATTCTCTGCTCTAATAATGAAACATTCCAGCTCTGGCTTGAATTACTTGCATTTCTCCCAGCTCTTCTTTTCCTCTTGCTCCTTGCTTTGTTCTCCCCTCTACCTGCCTCGGTTTTATTTTCTGCTCCCCTTTGTGCAAGTTGGAAGGGAAGCCACCTTGTCCACCCGAGCGTGTGCTGTGTAGCCACGTGCTGGAAAATGACACTTAAGCTTTTGGGAGCTGCGTAGCTCCGTGCCG